TCCCTTTCTCTCAGCTTGTCTTTGTTTGGACTAGTAGTTTCAGGCACAGCTGACATTTCACTCCTGGCTGCTGTATGCAACACTAGAAAGCTGATGTTTGCGTACTTTGAGAAGAGGTGGAAATGAATCAGTGGGAAGATGGTACACTCTTAGCAGTTACTCTCTTCTTTGGCTTCTTATCACACACGCTGGCAGGCGCAGGGCAGACCTGGCTTCAAGTGAGACAAAGGACTTAAGTGAAGAGCAGTCTTGATTGCAGTCCCCATGAGCTGAGCCCAAAACTTTTGCCTTCTGGTCACGTTGCCGGCTGCAACTTGGACTTGTGTCATGTACACTAAAGTGCAAAGAATCAGTGTATAGGGCTGGCTGCTGGTAGGCTGGTCATACACTGCAGTTGGAGAGCTTGGAGACACATACGCATCACCGTGGGTTTACATGTATATATGCATACTTACAGTGTGGAGAGAGAGTGAGTACAATTTCAAGTACAGATTCAAACCCACTCTTTGTTGACTCTTCACACAATCTCAAATATTTATTAGTGTAATAAAACCTCAGGTGATGTGAAAACATGCTGTTTGATCCAAACTGAGTGCTCTCAGGTTCAGGAATTATTTTTTTTTAATTTAATTTTCCTGAGTATATATGCCCCCTTCTGCCTCATTGCAACTTCATGTTTGCGTGAGCTGCTTACTGACTCAATATTCTTGTTGTTTTCCTGATAACTGCTCAGCAATTTCAGTTGCTGTTTGTATTGTGTGTTTTACAGCTTGGAAGTATCTATTTCTAGCAGGAATTTTTATGTTGTCCATATTGTCCCTTCTTGGCTGCTAGCACATTACTATAAATGTCCCTTGTTAAGTGTGTTTATATCATGTTGTGCTGTCTAATCTTATACGTCAAAACAAATACTGAAACCTGAGAGTTTCTCTTGAGCCCTTAGCAGCATTCAGTGAGCACCACTGTCTAACATCAGGATTTGGGCAATGAAAACAGCATTCACATCTGCTTTTCCCCACCTTAGAACAGAAAGAAATGTAGTGCAGCTTTTTGCAGTGTCTTTGATCCAGGCCCTCTTTGCTGTTTGAAAGCTAGTCCTGATCACTGGAACATGATCTCTTGACAGAAGGTCTTTTCATCAGACCAGGGCCTTTAAATGCATGGGCAAGACTTTACAGAACTGTAGAGCTGGAGCTAAAAAAACCCAAGAATTTATTTTTATGTATTCCATCCCTCTGGGAACAA